CTAATTAGTGCTATAAGTCAAAACCCATTTGGTGTAAGATTAGAGTGGTGTAGTGGAAGCGTAATATTTATTAGTGATTTTTTAGTATATAGTGATAGTTAGATATATAGACTATAAGGTGTTGAATAATAGTTGAGTAGAAAAAGTTAAACGGTGAAATTTACTACGAGTGTCGTGTGACTGTATGTGTTGTCTTGGTGAGCCTTTAAAGGCAACATTAATAGTAACACCCAATAGGTGTTAGGATGAGATTTATTGAGTAGATCTGATGATAAGGAATAAAATCTAAGTTATATTAATCATTTTTTAGGATAATTTGGTGAAATTGTCGAGGTGGTTGAATAATGATAGATAAAAGCTCCAACTAATAATGGAAGGAATAGTATTACTAGTAAATTATTTGAGACCTATAAGTGTTTGTAAATATTATTAGGTGATATACTACTAATAGTAGAGGATCAGGAGTTGTGGTTGATATTAGGTGAAATTTTATCGATGTGATTGAGTGGAGATTAAAATATGTAATGATAATTGGAATTATCTTATAAATGATGACTAATAATAAGTGGAACATTATTATTTAATGGTTATTGATGTATTGATGAATGGTGAATAGTGACAGGCGAAATGTCACTAGCTAAAAGGATTTAGTGAATATTGTTGATTTCTGGTTGAAGTTTATTGCAACGATATACTTTTACGTAGTATAACAGTTAAGTTTATGAGGTGTATACTAGTTAGGTGAGTAACTCTACTCTAACACATGATGTTGTTGATGTATGTTGTGCACAATATGTGGATTATATTGTGTTATTAATTAACTGTATATTATTATGTGATTATGTATTTACTATAGACAAAGTATATACAAAGTGGTGTATTACAGTTGTGGTCAATTATCAATTAGCCTTATTTGTGCTATTAGGTAATACTCGTTGGTGTTAATTGTTGTTAAAAGTCTCATATGGTATCATGAGACCTAAACCTGTTATACTAATTAAAATATTATTACATAATTGAAGTATGTAGTTGATGGTAGATTGGTATATGTATTTGTTGAAATTGGTAATATGTTATTATGATATTATTCATTAAGCCTCATGGATTACAATGTTCTGTTGTTGTGTTGCAGGTTAGGTTGTTGCAACGCCTGACTCGGATCTTGTACTTTGATGTAAGTATGATTCTTGACGATAACTCCTTTTATTCAAGTGTGCTAGTGTACACAAAAATATTTTATAATCTTGTATTACAATTTGAGGTGTAAGGTGTACCTAGTATGAAAATTTGTGCATTACAATTCTCAACTCAAACTTTGAGTTTAATAAAACCTAGAAATTTACTGCTCCCTATTGATTACTGCTCTTCACCTAATTTCCATCGATTACTTCTCTCTGCAAAAGTTTAAGAAACTTGAAACTTTAAGTTTAAGAAAACCTAAGGTTAAGAACCTATAATTTCCATCAATGCTCTTGTAACGCCCGATTTGCAGGTTAATTTCATAATTATAATGTGTTGATATATTTTTCATGAAGGCCACGTACGCTAGCTGGGCATAATTAAGGTACACTAGGCATCCCTAGAAGGATTTTGGACACGGGTTTTCCCCCTGGTACGTTAGGCGTATCTATGGTACGCTAGGCGTACCTATGGTACGCTAGGCATACGCGAGCCAAGGGCAAACCATAAATTTTAGGGTTTGGAACCTATTTAAGCACCTTATGCCCCAAGGTTCTCTCATTACCAGCCTCCATTGTCCCCAAAAGAATTATCTCAAAATCCTAATCCGTTTTTAGAGAGATTTGATCATTGTGTGTGTTTTGGTGTGTGTTTGGTGCATCTTGAAGAAGAAGAAGAAGAGCTTATTGGAGGAGGATTAGTTTGCTTAGAGCTTGAAGATCTAACACTCTTTTCACCTTTGCAAGCTTCTAGAGGTATAAAGCTTCAAACTTTATGACTCCTTAGCTTAGATCTAGAATTGGTATTATATTTGGCATGGTTTGGTCCCTTGGTTTAGTTCTTGTGAGTATGAGTTACTCCAGAACATGTGTTGGTCATTTCTTGATATTTCTGGAGTTATAGAATCATAAATATGGCATCTTGACGGGTTAAGCTCAACCATGCATGAGTTTATAGTCTTATTATGAAGTTAGAATGTTAGAAATGCATGGTGGGTCTCTTTGAGGCATACAAAGGCATAAAGTTGATGACTTTATCGTTTAAGACATTCCCCAAGCGTTGGACCTGCAATTCGGATGTTTGTACCTAGAGCATTAAGTGCTTAATGAAGTTTTGACTAGTTGGGACGTACACGGGGCATACGTAAGCATACGTACCTAAACCCCCATATTCTTTTCGGTGAAAGCTGGTACGCGAGGCGTACTGGTGGTACGCTTAGCGTACTCACCAGGAACCCTTTTTGGGCTTTAGGTCGTTTGGTCTATTGTGGGGCCTTATGCCTTTTTGGGCCATTGTTGGGCCTTAGTTCTATTGGGTCTTGTTGGACCTTAGGTATTTTGGGTTTGGGTCATGGGTTGAGGGGCCTATTAAAGGAAGGGTAAATGGTCTTTTACCCCTTTATCATGTTAGAGGGTAGTTTGGACCTTTTGTGGGTTATTACCTTGATTATTTATTAGGGTTAATTTGGAATGTTCAGTGTGAGGAGTCGTGGTAGCAACATCCCGGGAGTGTCATTTGTCTTTCTTTAGTCTGAGGTAAGTCTCCTCACTGTAGTTGTGGGTCGAAGGCACCAATGCCGGCCCATTGGATTATGTAGTATAATAGTAGTGATCGGTGTGACACTTACTAGTATGTATATATGAGCTTGATGTCTTTGTGACTCATGCTAGTATGATTGTATGCTTAGCTGTAGGGGTGAAATAGACCTATACCCTTTAGAAGATATCGAAGGAGTCGGAAGGGACTCATGGAATCGAAAGGGACTCAAGGAGTCAAAAGGGACTCAGAGATTCGGAAGGGACTCAGGGTTAGAATAGACTCATACTTGCTTTAGCATGATATGTATGTATGATATATACAGTATGTGGTATTTGGGAGAAGTCACTAAGATTTGTGCTTACGGTTTAAGTTTATGTTTTTGGTACTTCCAGTTTGAAAGGGAAAGGTCCGGCTTGATCGTAGTGCATCCACCCATGTTTTCTGCACTTTTATGATTTTGAGAATTGTACTCTGATAACTATTTACTATGACATACTTTTTGAATGGTTTGACATGAATATTTGATGGTTTTGAATTGAATTAAAAATGAAATTTTTACCTATTATGTTTAGGATGTTACAGCTCTACCTTCTCTGAGCTCTTCTCATAGGACACTAAATTGCTACTCTTTCTTTTTCTTTTTCTTAAATAGTAGATATGGAATATCTTCAGACCTTACCTTGAGACTTTGTAAAGTATGAAGTGTAATGTAGGTACTAGGCTAGAATTATAGGACAATTATTATCTATAAATTAAAATTAAGTATTACTTATTTATTGTTTAGCTATAGATTATATATTGTTTGATATTGTAAAAATATAAAAATTTAGAAACATAAAAATATCTATCTATTTATTGGTATAAAATAAAAGTAAACAATATCAAAATCAAAATATGTATGTGTTATTTATTTATAACGTGAGTCTTATTTAAACGAGGGATGTTAAAGAATAAAATAGAAGATGTTTGTTTGAATGACTATTTGGTTTGGTAATTTGAAAAGACAACTTGCCGAATAGAATAGTTTAGAAATAATTTTGCAACACTTCACAAAAATGAAAGTTCATCGACTTTCATTTTGATCAGCAATACGACGATATTGTTTATAAGTTTTATTTTTTAGAATGAATAATTTTGAACAAAATTTCCTTGTTTAAATTGTTATGTTTTGAAAATTTGATTTCGACTTATTATGTTTGTGTTCCTCCCTTGGTGGTTGTAATGGTGGTGAGAGTTACTTAGTTACTTTCATTTATTCGTATATTGTAGCTTTCCACTTTCAGCTCTTCGTAGAAACGAGTATATTTTTTAAATTTCAATGTCCTAAGAAAGAAAGTTGAAATTCGAATGTTGTAATTAGGTAAATTTTCAAAATAGAATGACTTAAAAGAACATAAGCAAGTAAAATCGGTTGTTAATTAGTGTTTAGTTGGTGTAGTTTAATTATTGAGAAATTTATCAATCCATTTTACGTGTTTAGTTTGACTTGGTAAAAAAATTAGTAACTGTTTAAATAAGTAATGAACTTTTTAATTTTATATTCAATACTGGTTAAATGGGTTTAGTAGTTGTATAAATTTTTAATTAGTTACTAACCCTTTTATATATGGATTTTGCTGTCTATGTAATTTTTTAATTTTTTTGATTTGAGGATCGAAGTCACCAACTTTTCTATCTTTGTAAATTATTATTATTATTATTTTTTGTAAATATTTGATTAGTCATTAAGATTCGAATTATAAATAATAGTTTTATTTTTTAGCCGTAATTTTCACAGGTTTAAACTTAGTTACTTAATGATAAAATACATGGGTAAATTAATCGTATTCTAAAAATTAACAGCTAGGCTGTTAACGGTAACTGTCGGAATGACCACCAATGTTACCAAAACCCTATAAGAAAAAACCAATATTGGAACAAAAATGTGATTTTGGCCAAACCACACAAACCAAAACTTTACTCTATTTATTATCGTTAATCGACTTCATTTTTTACGTTATCTTAATGAAAATAAGATATTTTTTTGTTAAGCAACTTGATTCAACAAACCGACTATATTGATATATGTAATGGGATTTTTTTGGCTTTTTAAGTTATCATTAATCAATTAATTAAAGATGTAGCTCAGTCTGTCCAAAACAACGTCTCAAATGCACTTAGAAAATGATTACGCATAAATTCAAAAGACCCCACAAAACACAAGTTTGGTAGAGCGTTGACAGACGGTCGCCGAAGTCATGTTTTTTTTTTTTTTTTTTTTTTTTTTTTTTTTTTTTTCTAAAGTCGACTGGGTTGTAATCAAAAGTTAACGCCGGTGAATAGCACGGCTTCAAGATGGAGGTGGATTCTTTGATGGAGACACCTCTGGTGGCAGTATTCCGTTCGCGGATTGAGCAGTCAGCACAGAAACATTGGGAGAGGAAGGCCCACCACCAAGTAACTGGTGGTTGTTCCTTGAGGAAGAAGGGTGGCAGGTGGCGGTGGAGATAGCAGTTGCTAGGGAAATCGGCATGAGACAAAGACCTTTCCCTTGTAAGTACTGCATGGCTGACCCCATATCCTCCGCCATCAGCTTCACCACCTGATTCTCCGCCACCGTCATGGTGTCATTGTTTGAAGACGATGTTCCATTGTTGCTTCGTCCCGCAGCAGCACCTCCTTCTAAAGCGTCACGACCTCCCTGTAAAAGCATAAAAATACACGTCAATGTTTTGCATGGGGATATAAATGTAATTTTTGCAGAAGAGGGTGGGGTGGGGTGGGGTAGGGGGCGGTGGTGGAACTGGGAAAGTAAGCACGCGTGCTGGCTTCTTTCTGTGTGTCGTTTATTTGATATGGAGAAAAGGGTGGGGTTTGATAAGGATTGGTTTTTTAAGGTCGATTCTTGTCTTTAGCTTTCTATTTATAGCAGTTTAAAATCAAACCCTAGATACAACAAAATCAACGCAAACCTACCCCTAAAATAAAATTTATATGCCCTTTTGCCTATTTGATCAAGTAGTGTTATAATGGTAAAAAGTTTACATAGTCTTTTTCCACTTGATGTTGATAATTAGATAAAGTACGTAATATAATAATATATCTTTTGATTAGTTTCAGTTGTATTATTAACCTTTTTCGTATGCATAATCATTATTCAAAAAATGTTCTACTTACCTTGTTTGGTAACTTGCTTATCAATTTAGATGGTAAAATATTGTTGAGGTGGCATTTATACCTAGTGATGCAAACACTAAATGTTAAGTTATATAGGATATACAATATATACAAGATACATACATTTTCTATTCATACACTTGTATTACTAAATACACGGCTTGTATTAATAGTTAAATATATATTTTTACTAAACATAAACATCTACTTATAACTTATTGTAACCCTCTGTCCCTTGACATTTTTTTCTACATCGGTATATATATACAATGAGTGAAATCGTATATAATTTACTAAAAAGAAAATTAATGAGCTATATATGACAAATTAAAGTATCTTATCTTAGATCATTACTCATTAAAATAATTTTCAAAATTATGATCAAATTGTTAAAAATTAAAGATATAACCTCTGTGGAGATGTCAGCTACAAGAGGGGCAACAGCAGCAGGACCTCCCAATCTACTCATGCTTAGTACCTAATCCAAAATGCTTAATTAGTATTTCTTTAGTGTTCTCATATATATATATATAAATATATATATATATATATATATATATAGAGAGAGAGAGAGAGAGAGAGAGAGAGAGAATACTTTGACTTGGAGCTGGAGGAATTTTACATAGTCTATGATCTCATCTAGCATTGAAGCCTTGTCTGTCTGTCATTCCACAACCCATATTAACAAAATATCCATCAATAAAAAATAGTTATTAGAGATAATAATAACATATATTCATAATTATATTGCTTTTGACTTCAATTATTTATTAAGTTCTACATTGCTAACGAAGATCTTATTGACTTCAAACCTAACACTTACATTTAAGTAAAATAAATAAATAAATAAATAAAATTAAAAAAAACAAAAAAAAAAACTTACATTTAAGTAAATAATATACATAATAACAAATTCCAAACGGTAAAATAAAAAGTTGAAAATTTTCACGCAAAATAAAAGATGTGTTTTTTGCATTAGAGAATTTTGAGAAAACTCATATTTAAAGAAAGAAAAAAATAATAAGACGACTTTGACTTTATGTGTTAAATTCTCAAGAAAATGTTTTCATTATATACCTGTTCGTGAAATTATTTATTTATAAACGAAACACTATAATACAGAATAAATGATTTTAGGGTTATAATGGTAATTGGCGACAAAACCAACCCCCTCCCCAAATCCGACTATGATTCGGATTTCGGAACCTACTCCCGGATTTTCTGCCTTCCACCTTCAATTTCAAGTACACACGAAATCATATTTTAGAAATTCAACACGCGCACTTATCACGCGATCTCTTATTGGTTAATAATCATTCCTTTGTATGTAGTACGTGTGAGTGTACTGCAACTGATACTCACCGCCGGCTTCTGCTCATTACCGGTCGCCGGTGAATACAAAATTAAAGATGCTGATAGTTTGATAGTCATACCTTGTTAGCATTTGGGACAAGTTCTTGTAACGATTTCATCCTCTCTGCAATCCTCTCTCGCCGTAACTGCCATAATTTCCGATCAAAATAAGATATACAAAATGGAAGTACGAGAAAAAGAGAGGGCGATTAATGGGTGTTTGATGATTTTGTTTACTCTTTCGGCTATGCTGTGTGGGTCGGTTGCTTGTCCTCTTCTAGCTCTAACTCTTTGTCGTGGCTGCGTCGGTGGTCCACTGCCGCCACCTACTGTTGCAGTTACACCGCCGGAGGTTGGTCCTTGGTTAGTCAAGGCTGCTGCCGTCCCCTGAGAGCCGAAGCTCTGGGCCTGCGTTGGTGATTATGGACATATCATATCATGAAAAGATAAAGTAAAACGGAAAATACACGTACACGAACACTCACCGGCGGGAAATGGAAGTCCTGGGTTTGATTGGATTGGATAGATCCGGCAAACCCATTAAAGAGAGTTTGAATCGAATTATCTCCACTCTATACATAATTCAATTATTCATCATAAAAATCGGAGAATAATATATTAATTTACAATAAATCTCCGGAAAACAGTTACCGGAGATTTGAACGATGAAGCATCAACCATGTCATTTTCAAAAAGCACAGAATCACCGGCGCCGGTTAAGCCTCGAGAGAGCAACAACTGCTGTTGAAGAAGCAGAGATTTCACAGCAGAAGATGGATTACCTGCTCCACCGGTTCCGGCGCTGATCTGATGCTGCCGGAGTTTTGATGCTAGAAAAGATGATTGGTCATCAAAGTGGTCCACGTCCCATGGAAATACTGGTTTGTTCTGACCGGCACCGCCTCCGCCGCCAGTTCCGGTGGATATATCCGGCCAAGAAACTCCTGACTGGAGACCACAAAGCATTTGCTCTAGGAAATCTTCATGAGAGGACGTGGGATCGTAGCTGTTGGTAACGTTTTGGAGGTCTTGAAGCGACATTTTAGTTTCTTCAAAAAAAACACACACATACATAAGCACACACTAAACCCTCGATTCATAAACAATATAAACATATACGCATTAACGACACATACCTTGGTAAATGTGAGATTTATGAGTAATTTCGGAAATATATTTCGAGTTACGATGGTGATGGAGAAGAAGAAAAAAAAGTATTTACAACATCAAAGGATATTTGTGTGGAATGTTTCTCAATGGCATAAGCTCTCTCTTCCTCTAGTTTCATCCTCCAAGAGTATATATAAATAGCTAAACTAAACATCTTTGCAAAGTTGTCATTATCCATATAGTTTACTCATTATATTTTTCACTTTACAAAATTGTGATTGAAAGATGAGATCCAGATTAAATTGAAATAGGTATAAAATTAAAAATCAATTGGTTTATCCTATATAATTTAAATAGACTTTCAATGTATTTCAAGACCACCTAGCATGTCTAATGCGACAGTATTTACTAAAAACGACATTTAGTAAATGGTTGTTTTTCGACGTGTCAATCGACTGGGAGAGACTATTCGTTGGGATGCAGTTATGAGTTCTTGTGATTGTCGTTTTGAGCTTTCCGTATATCTTTCAATTTTTTGTGCCTTGAAGCTACATTGTAACCGGTTGGGCTACTCAACTGCTCAAGAGCTAATGTTGATGCTTGTTGTCTGTATACATGACGCATGAGGTGTGCCAATTGTCGGTATAATTATTGTTAGATATAGTTGTTAGAACTGTTGTAGTGTTGGAGATTGGCTCACAATATTAGTTGATTAGTGATTTGAATATTGGTATCAATGGGTTGAACTTCGTAGGAAGTGTTGTTCGTTTATGGAAGCAACATGTTTACTTTAAGTCGTCTAAATTGAACAATATTGATGTGGTATTAATGGACGAGAAGGTATCGATTTGTCATGGCTAAGTTTTTTTTGTTTTGTTTGCTATAGTATAGTTTTTTAAGCTTCTTTGTTTTGTTGTAATTCGAGGGGAACCGTATCTCATATACCATCAAGAAGGCTTTAGTTCGCAAGTTTGAAGGACTGTTGAAGAAGGTTAGTGTGTATGATTTTTCTAATTGTAACACCCATTTCAGGCATACGTCTATTCATTTAATTTTCATAATTTTTATTCTACGGTGCCCACGGCATGGTTGGTGTGACATTCCCAAAATCACGGCCAGAAAAGACCGGTTTAATTTATGTTTTTAAAATAATTTCAGAGTAATCCTTTGATTAAAAGATTTGCAGAATTTGTTCCCAAAACGAAATATGATAAAATAAGATTTACCAAAGCATTTCTTAAAGATATGTATTTTCATTATATAACAAAACTCGGGATGTCATGTTCCGACACAGATCAAAAGCATAAACGACACATTATAAGCCTTACAACAGTTATATACACTACAGGCCTATAATCAAAATATCTTGATAAGTCGTCCAACTTATGCTGTCGCGCCACTACCTGTAATACAAAGAAAACTGAGTGGGTCGGGCTTGGGAGCCTGGTGAGCATATAGGGTTTTCAACCCACAATAAATAATTATATTAATTTCATCAACCAACAATAACCCAATTACCCATTCCCGTTATCCTCACTTTACGTCCCTAAAACAACTATCACAAGGGACCTAGCCTAAGGATTTTTCATCGGGGCGACACCACATGCTTCGGGGTTTCCTCAGCAATATATGTCAAACAAGGCAACGATGTGGGGGATGGAGTACAGCAAATGAACACTCAAGTTCATTAACACCTACAGGTAGTGAGCCTACCAGCGTTCCACTAGACTGTCTAGAAAAGTCTGTGGTCGTCATCTAAACCCCGCTAGATGACTGAATCAGCAACGACATCGAGGACTCTCATCATTTTATCACACGTTAACTATCTACCCATGTTGTACCCAACATTTTAGTAGATAACAATATACTTATACATTCATATACAACTTAAAAGCTGTATAAAATATTCATTCGATACTCACTCCAAATACACAGATAATATATATACACATAACACGTATTCTATAGAAGATACTTCATACCTATGTGTTAGAAGAAAGGGATTATACACTCTCTTAAAACGTATACTTAATACATTCAAACAATACTTGTATTAAAATCGTGTTTATGAAAGAGATTATGCACTCACTTGATAAGACGATGCTCGGACAGCACTACGCCTCTTCAAGTAGTATTCTTCGATGAATCTAGGATATCTTCACACACCGGGCTTCTCGCGGGCAGAGCTTCTGCTCGAAAACTCTTTTCTTCTCGGGATCTTCGGAGCGTCGGGACTTTCTTCGGGTGTCGGGATCATACCGAGGCTTCGGGGGTACTTCAAGATAGCTAGAGAGGGTATAGGGAGTGAGAGAGTGAAGGAATTAGCAACCATGGCCAACTGCCCTTCGCTTTCTATTTATAGTCGATTTTCTGGATTCACGTCGTGAATCTCAAAAATTCACGTCGTGAGTTTGGTCAGGCATAGGTCATTGCGTTCGTCATCATTCCACTTGCTCTGGAAGGCGTCCAGCACCTGTTCACGTCGTGAACACTGTGTTCACGTCGTGAGCTCTGACACAGTGTCGGGGTTCGTGCCCCGAACTTCAGAAATTCATATCTTTCGCATACGAGCTCTGTTTTTGACGTTCTTTATATGCACGCGTAGGTGAGATTATGCTCTATAACTCTCGTTTAGACTCCGTCGGCTAATTTTGACTTTATTTTTAATATTATATTTTCAGTAGGCCGGGACAGGAAAACTCCGTTAGAAATTATTAACTTCTTCATCTGACGTCCGTTTTCGTCTGTCTTTTTACTGTTGCATTACTATCGATGAGATCTTCGATTCTCATTTAAATTGTTTCGGCTAGAAATCACACGATCTCATATTCGAACTTTGGGCTGCATACCGCTAAGTCGAAACTTCGAAAAATCATAACTTCCTCTTACGAAGTCAGATTTAGACGTTCTTTTATGTACGCTTTCGGTTTAACGTATTCTACGACTTTCGTTTAGACCACTAAGACTAAATATTGGTATATCGTAAATTCACTATTTACGTCACACAGTGTCATAACTTCTTCGTTATAACTCGGATTTCGACATTCTTTATATTTTCGGAATCCTCGTAACGACCACTACCTCTTCATGTATAGATATCGGGCTTATCTAATATTTTATTTTATCGCTTATTTTTATCCTTAATTCATTTAAATCACACAATTAAGCAATAAACACATAATACTCAAATAATACATTCTTATTATTTCAAAACGAGTTACAAAGGTTAACCTAGACTATTACATCATCATTAATGTCTAACCTAGAAACACGGGCGTTACAATTCTCTCCCCCTTAGGATGATTCCGTCCCCGGAATCACACATCAACAAACAAATGCGGATAGCGACTCATCATGTCACTCTCCGTTTCCCAGGTGAGATTTGGCCAATTCGTATGTTTCCAACAGACAAACACTAATTTGACCATCTTGCGTCGTAACTTCTTAGTCTTTCGGTCAACGATTGCCTCTCGTTCTTCAATTAACCTTTTGTTCTCATCAATTTTTAGCTCAGAAATTGGAATTATATCGGGAACTTCTCCCGTGAACTTCCTCAAATAACACACATGGAAAGTGTTATGAATTCCATTCAGTTCTTCGGGTAATTCGAGCTTGTAAGCTTGGTTCCCAATCCTCTGAAGAACTTTAAACAGTCCAATAAACCTTGGACTTAACTTTCCCCTTTTTCCAAACCTTATAAGTCCCTTCCACAGTGAGACTTTAAGCAAAACCGAATCTCCAACTTCAAAAGTCATCGGTCTTCGCTTGTTGTCAACATAGCTCTTTTGACGATCCTGAGCTGCTAACATTATCTCCCTAATTATTTTCAACTTTCCAGCAGTCTGATGGACTATCTCGGGTCCCATAAACTGCTTTTCCCCAGCCTCAAGCCAACAAGATGGCGTATGACACTTATGTCCGTACAAAGATTGATAAGGTGCCATCTTAATGCTCGAGTGGAAACTATTATTGTAGGAAAATTCTACCAAAGGCAAGTGTTCATCCCATTTGCCTTGGAATTCCAAGGTACATGCTCTCAACATATCTTCAAGCGTTTGTATCGTTCGTTCGCTCTGCCCATCAGTCTGTGGATGGTAAGTTGTACTCAAACACAACTTGGTACCCAATTTCTCTTGTAGACTCTTCCAAAATCGCAAGGTGAAACGACTGTCACAATCTGATACAATCGTTAATGGCACCCTGTAAAGCCTCACAATTTCCTTCACGTAAGAATTCGCAAGCTTATCTATAGACCATTTCTCATTGGCTTTTATGAAGTGCACACTATTAGTGAAGCGATCAACGACCACCCAAATCATGTCGTGACCAGTCTTTGTTCTAGGCAGCTTAGTGAAAAAATCCATGGCAATGTCTTCCCACTTACCCATCGGTACAGGTATAGGTTCTAAAATCCCATATGGTTTCTGATGTTGTGCCTTAACTCTCGCACATGTCACACACTCGGTCACATACTTTTCAATATCGAGTTTCATCGTCGGCCACCAGTAATAGGGTTTTAGGTCCCTATACATTTTAGTGCTACCGGGATGAATCGAGTACATGCTTTTGTGAGCTTCTTCCATCAGAAGATCTCTTACTCCTCCTGACTTAGGTACCCAAATCCGATATTGGAATACCTTCAGTCCATGACTGTTTATACCGAACACTAACGTTTTGCCCAAACGTTCCTCCTTTCGGTCATTCTTTTCTGAAGCTTCTTCTTGAGCTTTCTTTATACTCTCCACAATTGTCGAGACAACTTCTATTCTCAACGCTCTTGGCCTTTTTCTCTCAAGATTGACTTTCCGACTGAGAGCATCAGCAACAACACTGGCTTTACCGGGGTGGTAAAGTATCTCACAGTCATAGTCCTTAAGTAACTCTAGCCAGCGTCTTTGCCTCATATTCAATTCTTTCTGATTAAAGAGATATTGGAGACTCTTATGATCAGTGAAAAGTTTGCACTTCGTGCCATAGAGGTAATGCCTCCATATTTTTAGAGCAAATACTACCACTGCCAACTCCAGATCATGAGTGGAGTAGTTCTTTTCACGCTCTTTCAGCTATCGAGATGCATATGCTATCACCTTTTCTCTTTGGGTCAAAACACAAACAAACCCAACCCCAGACGCATCGCTATAGACAGCAAAGTCCTCATCTCCATCGGGTAGAGAAAGAATCGGTGCTTCAC